CACAGAGTGAAATTCTCCGACTCCGATACAGGAAAAATAAAACAGAACTTATAACATTGGGGCTAATATGTTAGCAAGCAAGCTGCTGATAGTTTTCGACAACAGTCCTTAAAGTTAACTGCAAGTAAGCGAACCTTTAACCAGCTGTAGCATTATGCCAGTTCCCGACGGTTCTATGCTATTCGTTTTTTCTTTCACTAAGTGAAGCAACACTTCATAGTTTACTAGTAATATATAGTAAATATATGGCCATAGGACTTTGAAATATCAGAATTTAAGCCTTGCTTTTATCTCCCAGGACTGTTGTTGAATCTTCCAAAAGTTTTGGCTTGGGGTCCTTCACATGCGGCAGCAGCACTTTCCACCGCACCAATAACACGGGGCTGCCCGCGGACGTGCCTGACTTTAAATCGGCGCTACTAAACACGGATATCGGCCGATGCCGATATATTAAAAAATGACAAATATCGGCCCGATATATCGGTCGACCTCTACACTGTAGTATACATCAGATGGCCATTGAACTGTGGGTGGCCCGTTTGTGCGTCGACTGAGACCAAGTTTGATGGATTCATGTGATGCTTTCTGTTGTCTTTTCAAACCCAGGTGTGGGACCTAAACTCAAGACTGTGCAACTGAGGCTACAAGCAGGCATCAGCCAGTACAGTAAAACTGGCGCATAATCCGGCAGAGTGCTGCATGGAGCTCTCAGCCAGTCCTCATTAACCTGCCGTATCCTCAACTCAGACCTGTGTGGATGACATCCTTTGAGGAGCCAGGAGTGTGAGCTCATTAAACAAGCCCACACACACTGCCTACCTCGGGTCAAGAGTATCTACTGTAGCCACCCTCTCTGTTCCCCTGGCTGACTGATGCCGTTAAGATGTCAAAGCGTTTCACGTAAAGCCCTCCACTTTAGTGACGATGAGTTGGCCAGGTGAGAGGAGAAGAGCACAGGACAGCCGCGCTAAGAAGGTCACCAATTTCAAAAAAAATTTTTTCAAGTAGACTAATTTCCATGACTGAAAAACATTAGGTTTACTCTCCTCACATTTTTCAACTTATAGGCCTGATGGAAATTCAGGCCTACTGTATTTAGGCATAAATAACAGGAAATTCAGGCCTACTGTATGTGAGGAAAAATGCGTTAGGAAACGTTCAAATTAAATGAGCCCTTGAGAGTAATCTTTTACATACAATTCTTTTATCAAGTTGGCTTGAAATATGCTTTGCGCTGTTGCCATTTTCTTTGTTTTGGCTCTATGCAGTGGTTTTTCTAAAGGGTCAATGACATTCTGTGCCCTTTCCAGTTTACAGTCTGATTATGTCACATCAGCTTGTGAAAGCCCACTGATGTCAGTGGTGCCGTAAAAAAACAACTGGCTTCTTTGAAATTTTTAAATTGTGGACTCTGAATGAACATTGTTGCTAGGCACTCCAGTAACCTTGTCCCGTTTAATCTCTTTTTTTTTATAATCTGTAAAATCATGGGTTTTACAAACAAAAATAATTTTTTTCCCTTTCACCTTTTTATCAATAAATAGCTGGAGTTCTTTTGTTCACCATGCAAAATTGACCTGTGTCAGCTGTTGGTTATTTTACTCCTAAAACAATAATTAAATTCTTGTTTTTTTTCCAAGTAGTAAATAAAACAAAGATTAATGGAGTATGTTTTACAAGAATATAGTATTTCAGTTGCACTTTTTAAATGTAAATTTCACAAACTTTTAAGACTTCTGTCAATGAATGCAAAATCAATATAAATAGTCTGCGTACATATCCAGTAAGGTGTGAGTGTGTGGGCTGGCCTGTTCAATATTCAAATACCTTTTTTACACATTTATGGCCTAATAAAATGTTTCAAAGTGGGCCGACCCGATAAACCAACCTCCTGACAAGCAAAATAAAAGGGCAGGGGACAGTCTTATCTGAATTTTCCTCTTGTGACCTTGGAAACCATTTGATTAGGTGCACATGAAATGCTTGCGGCAAAATCATTTCTCTTTTTCTAACTAAATGTGGCATGGTTTTATCTGTTTACCCTGATCTGATCAGCTAGGATCCCAGCAGCCCTCACACGCCATTGGTGGTGTGATGAGATCACAGTAATGTACAGAGAGTAGCCTAGAAACTTTAACGTCACATGTTATACAATACAAGTATCTTTTTACCACTGAAGGCCTCAGCTGGTGTTTAGAAAGAATTCTTGCTGACTGTAGGCAGAGAATAAAACCATGGCCAATATGGCAGGTGTGATGTTGGCAGTGATTTATTTATTTATTATTTCTTTCATTTTGCATCTTCACACATTCTGCTCAGTGTGTGATTCTAAGCTGATTTTTGCTTTTGTGTCACAGATAATATAACATTATTTAATTTGAGGAGGAATAACATTTTATTGCTTTTCGATAATGAAATTACTTCTGCTAATGGTACATTTATGCATGATGCAATAAGTGCAAATAAACCCGCTTCTGACTATAAGCTATTTTTTATAAATTACTAGCTGAAACGAGGCTATTTTTCCCAATTTTTTGCAATTAGATGATGTTTGACCAATGTTCTGCTTTTTTTTTCTTTTTGTCTTTCCTCAAGTTGATGGTATCTGTACTACAGATGACAATGTTCCATTAACCATTATCTTATCTTCTCAAATTAGGTCAGGAAGCCATTGTCTTATATAGCTACAAAGAGAACAGAGTATTTAGAGCCTTTGCAATTCTGTGATGAACCATTGATTTAAATAAAGTTATTGATTAAAAAAGTATCAAATCACCTATTAAAAAGAATATAATTGGTGTCAGATGCTTCTAACAGTTCAGGTATGCTTATAGGAATGGAACCAATTTATCTTAAGAATCAGATGTTTTACCTATCCCTAGTTAGATGTATGTGTAGAACGTATCAGTTTTACAGTACATATCCATATTGATCTATAAGAAACATACAGTATTGACAAACTTTGAAACATGCTGAATTCCTTAGAAAACTGCCACAAATATGGGCAACAGGATATGATGTCACCCTCTAAACAACAAACAATTATGTATATAATTTAAATAATACCATTCAAATGTCTGTTTTATATTTTCCTGTGAAGGCAAAGCTGAATTTTCTGCAGCCATTACTCCAGACTTCAGTGTCACATGGTCCTTCAGAAATAATTCTAATATGCTGACCGATTTGATGAATAGAAAGTTTGAAAGAACAGCATTTAAATATATATTTTTTAAACTATAACATAATTTTTGCTAAATTTTAATGCATCCTTGCTGAATAAAAGTATTAATTTCTTTCACAAAAACAAGAATCTTACTGAGCCCAAAGTTATGAACTGCAGCATATATTTATAAAATTACAACATTGCGTTGCTTCAAAGCTGGCTCTCTTTGTATTGAGCCAAGAGATGTGGTTTATATGCTCTATTTGTCAAATGTCTTTTCATTAGGTCAGAGATCACCGAACTTGAACTTTCTTATGCAGTGGAAGATGAAACAACTTCACGTGCTTGCGTTTCCGTTCTCCCACATTTGCACTCGTATTGTAAGTGACCTGAGCTCAAAGTCTGCTGTGGCCGCACCTTAAGCCTTCCGCTCATTAGCTGGATGCTAGCTGCTTCTCAAGGAGGATGTGCTTATTTTGACAGTCTGGCATCCTGAAATGAGTGGAATCACTTTGTTCTGTTACAGCAGTATTTTCGCCTACCAGATATGGTTCCAGAGACCACAGTGGTTATTCAATCTAATATTCTGTTTAAAGCCTTTAACTGAGTGCACTGAACTGCGTTCAGCCTTTCAATTAATTTGCACATTGTTTAGCAATGAGTGACCCAATAATAAACTACAAAATGTGACCTGAACCTGCATAATCTTTTTGCATTTGTATTGAATGATAAAATGTGGATAATAGTGTGTTTCATGACTTGCCAGCCGAGTTTTCTGTCATCAATTCTGTGGTCTGCACACCCAGTGTTCTCCCCTCTGCATGTGTTTAGCATGCTGTGTCTCGGGAAAAAGCCACCACAACTATGTCATGCAGACATTTATTTTTGCCTTGTAAAACTACCCAAATGTTGTGGCATTTTTGAAAATAGTTTGTACAGTTTGTGATATAAAAAGAAGGAGCTTTCTGAGGCAATACGAAACCTTTATGGAAGGCGAATGATGAGGCAGTTGACTGTCAGCTGAAATGTTTTAACTGACGTGAAAAAGGCTTGATAACACTGGACGTCACTCAGCCCACACGAAAGCAAATAGATCTGAACATGTCAAAGGCCTTTGACGTCCCTCTTGCAGTGTAGGCCATATTATCTTCGGCTTGGACAGGCTGTGGTTGAACCGCTATGAAGAAAATCCATTTGGCCATCTACCTCTCTCGCTCTCTCTCACACGCTACCTCATTTTGCTTCCTTAATCGTGGTGTGCTAAAGCTCACTATTATTCAGCAGATCTGAACAACTCATAGCTCACTCTGTGTTGTTTGTTCATTGCTTTTGGTTATGGAAGTCATATGACGTCGCTGGCATGTAGGGTTGGGTATCAATATCATTTGAATTTTATCAATTCCGATTCTGCTTATCGATTCCAATCCTTTTCGATTCCCAGTTTTGATTCCAATGTGATTAAATAATGATATCAAACATTTATCCTGTGTCTCTTTTTTTATTGCATTTTTTTATTCATTTATTGCAGCTGAATACCATGAACAAAAATCAACAGGCTAAATAAAAATTTGACTCTTTAAGAGCTGTTTGTGTGCAAAATAGAACTGCATGATTCTGGATAAATTGAGTTTTTTTTTTCTTTTCTTTTTTCCCCCAATGGAAGTTGTGGTTCTCTCGTGGTTTAGTTGTCTAATGTTCAGAATCATATGTAATTTATGAATGAATGATTAAATGACTCACTCAAGATGTACTTGTTTCATTACTGGATGAATCAGCGTTCTTGAACGAATCTCTTGTATGATTCAAAGACAAATACATTTTAACAGCCCCTTTTCACCACCTACTGGCAAAACAATGTAATCGATAAATCTTCATTTGACGTGTTAAATTACTTTCAAAAGGTGATTTACTCTATTTTAATCGCTACCATACACATCGTACACACAGTTTATATCTGAACTATAAATTTTATCCCAGTACTTCTGTGATTTGAATGTTTGTAACAGAAATAATGATACTGTGTGGCTGAAAAGACTGTGAAGCGGTTTCATTCATGACAGCTGCTCTCTTTAGGTCAATGGCAGCGCGAACGCAAATGTAAATGTTCAAATCACACTGGTGTGATCGTACGCTGCACGGACGAACCAAGTGATCACAACATTGTTCACACATGTCAAAGGTTGAGGAATGAAACAGACGAATCATTGTAATTTAGGAATAGAATCCCGTTGGTGTTTGAATCGTGTTTGCGATCTTTAACAATCTATTCAATTAAAGTGCTTTGTCATGTTGGTGGTGACGCCTCTCTTGCAACATGTTTAGCTATCACAGATATTATACTTAGCTTTTTTGGCTTCTGATCGCAAATGTAGCCAAACTTTGGAGCACTTAGATTAGGGAGCAAGGTCCTGGCAGATCGCTAGGTCCGGTCCTCACAGATGAGGAATAAAAAAATTAAAAAACACATAGGAATCAATAGGCAGAATCAAAATTTTAATTTGACAATAAGTATCCGATTCCTGACCTTAAGGCCCAATCCCAATTCTACCCCTTAGCCCTTACCCCTCCGTTTCGCGCGTTCACGTAAAGGGGTGTCTCGATTCTCTTTTGGTTGGAGGGGTAGGGGTAGGGGAAGGGCCAGACAGACCTTCAAACGAAGATTTTTTGGGACCACACTTCAAACGAAGGGGTATGAATTATCTCAGCGTAAACCGGCTTCAGCGGCAACATGGCTGCCCGAGTGAACAAAAAGACAAATAAATATAAGCATTTTTGGCATTAATAAAGATTTTAACGAAAAGTAATCATTTGTTTTATGTTGCATTCAATCGTGAGTTCATATTACGGTCATGTTACTCAAAGAAATGTTTGCAAAAAATCGCTAATATTTGCTAACTAACGTCATATCATTACAGACTGCACGATAGTGCCACAACATATGTTCATGTCTGATCAGGGTGATAACCACCGTAGACATTGAGGGGGCTAGTCCCCCCAATAATTATAAATCGCTAAACCCTTTTCTGAAATATTGCCAATTCGAGAGAGAGAGAGAAAGAGAGAGAGATGAAAGTTGCATGTATGCGCGTCTGTGCGTTTCTCTTTTTAGAGTGAGTTTACTTCAAAAACAGCGATTTATATCCTCTCGTTGCTGGAAAATATAATGTAGCGATTCAGTATTTAAACTGTTATTAATAAAAGTCATGGGGCAGCGTTGACAAGTTTCTTTTCTCCTGGATGTGTGAGCTGCGCGATCTTCGATATATATATATATATATATATGTGTGTGTGTGTGTGTGTGTGTGCATTAATATAGAATGATAATTAAAGGCTCTAATGCGCACACCAGTA